GATTATCATTGCATAATAAAATGTCTGAATCCGCTCGCCGTGGGCCAGCGGCTGAGCGGGGGGCAGTCAGCACTGGGCGAATGCCCGGGCAACCGCCCCCAAACAGAAGTTTTAATGAAGCGTATTAAAATTTAATTAAATAACAATTTGCACAAATGTAAATAAACACGACGCTGCTTATGCAAAGCGAGGGCGCCACAGCGCAGTGAGCGATTGCCACAGTGTAGTGAGTGGTGCAAGGGGGGGGAGGGAACCGGGGGACAGCTGCGACTGCAGGAGCACGGGAGCTGAAGGTGAAGACGACGCCAGCGATGGCATGTCTCCCGGCTGCTATGTCAACGCCCAGCGCGGCGAACTTTGGTCATTAAATTAAGTGCAGAGAGAGCGACCACGGGAATGAAGCCGACTCCGACGACGACGACGACGACGACGACCACGGCATGACGAACAAAAGCCAAATCGGCAAATGACACTCGCCACGAGCATGGCTCGCCGACAGGACAAGGGAGGGCGTGTCTCGCCTCCAGACCGCAGTCAACGCTGGCGTCTATCAAACTCAAATCACAGTATTAACAATATCAACAACACTCGAGCCTCCAGCTTCCAGCCTCCTGCCTCCTGCCTCCTGCCTCCTGCCTCCTGCCTCCTGCCCACAGCATTAGCATAATCATATATTTTAAATATCAACAGTTTGGGCATTCAAATGAACTTGTTTGCCATCGAATACAGTTATACTTCATATAACAGTTATATTCGCAATTCGCTTATTAGCAGCAGATTAAGCCGCGAGTCATTGAAACAATTGAATTTATATTATTATGTGGCAGATCACAAGAGTTGCAGATGCTAAGATCCCGAGTGCATTTGATACAAATATTTATTTGGCTTAATCAAGTTGCTTTTTGAGAATTTTATATATATTCTGGGTGTGCGTAGGAAAAACGTTGAAGGTTCCTCAAGAATCTTTCAATTCATAGTATTTGCTTTAATGTAGTCCCCTTCCAATATCTGATAGGGATTACTTTGAAAGGTACCAAAGTTCCCAACGAAGTAATCCCCATTAAGAGCTTAGTATCTACACTTGTACCTAGTGTTACTTTAATACTAGAAGCACATCAAAAATACTGTTTTTTTAAACTGAACCCATGGAAATCCGAGTATAACTGCTCTGTCAAAATGTGTGTAACAGGCAGAAGGAGGCGTGGCAGACATAAAGTATATATGTCGGGGCGTTACGTTTCTGGTTTTTGCCCTCCATTATAACGAGTTCCAACGAGTTCCCGGTGTCGCTTAATTCTCTTTACAGCGCTCTTTCTTGCTCAACTGTCTTTGACCAAGTGTCATTTCTCCTCTCCTCTCAAAACCTCTAGTTCTGGTCGCATATTCTTGTTCATCGAAGGCATAGCATAACTAGCCGTCTCGCTCTCACTCAGCGAAGCCCGCAACAGCTATAGTTGTCTCTCTCCTAGTGACTAAACATCCTTTAATTGTCACTACAATACTAATTCAATCGATTAACACGAACTTAATCGATGTTATTCTCAACACTGTTGGATCAAGAAATCCCATAGTAAATTCAACAGCAGCGTAATATCGCACCGATACGACATATGTATATCTACATATATGCTTTATCAGGACTGAGTCGATATAGCCCCGTCCGACTCATGCAGGGCTCAGGGTATCTCGAGCAGTTTTGCCTAGAGTACTCTTACTTGTTATACCCTGAACCCATTGAAAATGGGAAATCAAGGTATAATGGTTTTGTGAAAAGTATGTAACAGGCAGAATGAGTCATCGCAGACCCCATAAAGTGTATATAAGAGCAAGAGAGCTGAAATTTGGCATGCATACTCGTGTATACTATAGGCAGTACAAGTTTACAAGTTTTATTTTTTCGATAACTCGTCCGATAACTTTTTATCGAGAATAATCGAAAAATCGACTTTGCTTTTTTAGCCTAATTTGAACACTTTTAGACCTGGAAACTTCAAATGTGCGTTGTATATAAAGTTAATGGATAAAAATATTGTAATTTAAAGATTTTGGATACCACGCCCCCTTCGCCCTTAATTTGTATTTCAAGTACTAGAAACTTGTGCTTTGGCACGTACACACATTCTAATCATATGATCATGCTCTGAAAGTTTAATTAAGATTGTGCGTCTACAAAAGAAATTATTCAACTAATGAATTCTCATACTATTGCCCACACTGCAGCGCAGCCCAAGCGCTGTCGCTGCTAGCTGCGCAGTCAGCAGAGCGCGTGTGCATTCATTGACTCGATTGCAACAGATATTTTGCCTAATTTTCAGGAAAAGGCAAAAGTTAAAGACAAGAAAAATACATGGAAGCAAACAGCTATAGAAATTAAACGGAATATGGCAAAGCTTCTCGGCCAAAACGAGGGATATGAGTCGCAATAGAAAGCACCACTACTACACATATACAATTATACTACTACTACCATATATACATACATATACACATAGATAGCATCAACATATGCGATACATATCAAAGCAGAGATTTTCTTATGAATTTGTTATTGAGTAGGTCGTGATCGGATCATCAATCAGTCAATCAATGTGTATATTAACTATTGAATATTGATCAATCTATCAATCCAATATTTATTTATGAATGTCTGTAAATTTATTCATTCTCATATCGATTTCGCATTTTGGCAACATTTTCATGTACAAGAAGTTCGCTTTACGCCTCGTGAAGCTAATGTGATTTTTAATTTTCTATGCTTACAAACACACCCACACACACAGACTAACATACACACACTTATGAATTGAGTGTTCATACCCTAAACCCATTGAAAATGAGAAATCCGGGTAAAATGGTTTTGTCAAAACGTATGTAACAGGCAGAAGGAGGCGTGGCAGAGACTATCTTGATCTGGGCAATAAGCTTAGTGGAATTATCGCTGTCCGTCTGTTTGTCTGTCTATCCGTCCACCTCCAACCGTCCGTCCGTATGTATGATAAACTCGTTGGTTTTAGAACCTTGCAGATCGATAACTAATTGATCATCAATTGCCATCTTAGTGTTATCGATAACCTTTTATAGAAAATAATTTAGAAAAGGTATATCTCGTACATCCACTTTGCATATAGATTAAACAATTTGGATTTTCGCTATATACCGACCGATAGATACCGGCCCCAAATTGGTGACTAGTCGATAACCGATTAGTGATATCCATAGCCAGTGATGGCAATTCATTTAGAAAAGATATATCACATCTTTAGCGTTTTTATTTTGCATATACAAAGATTCATGTGTATCCTGTAGAATTTGAATTCGCTTTTTATTGACCGGTAGATACCGGCCTCAAATTCTGCCATTTCCGAATGTCATTATCTCATTCCGAAAGTTTGATATTGATAGTCCATCTTCAAACGGATTAAATAGGCTCACATAGTACGGCCCGTCTTCCGGCCCAAGAGCAGTCGCTGTGTCCAGTGTGCATGCAGAAGAGAGGCGCACAATGATTGGAATATCAGTTCCTTGTAGGAATCAGGGTATCTCGTAGTCGAGCAGTCTCCGCAAGAGCACTCTTGCTTGTTTCATTTTATTTTTGTTATTTTCGGGTTTCTTTTTTTTTTTTTTTTCTTAATGTAGAGGTGCGTCTGTGTCTAAGGCGGCGCTCTAAGGTCTTTGTGTTGATGTTTATGGACGCATCGCTCATACGCCGGATGGGCTGTGGCGTAGCAATTTCTCGCGTGCGGCAGGTAAAGTCTTAATTGAATTTGCCTGCCAAGCGTTGGCCTGGTAACACGATTCGCTGAGCAGAGCTTTCTGCTCTGCAGGAATACCCACCTATACCTTTTGTGTATGCCCAAATGTATATAGGGGCATTGCGCATACGTCACGTATGCCCAAATGAAATTGTATTCATTTTTATGAAATTCTGATGAGTAGATTTGAGGAAAGTGTGCCACTTTAAGGCTCGCAGCGAAATGGAAGAACTTAAAAGCAAGAGCTTAATATTCATTTATTGATAACTTGCCTCTCGCACTCTCACTCTCGCGCTCTCCCTCTCCCTCTCCCTCTCCCTCTCACTCTGCTGAAGCTGAAACTGTCTACTCAGCCATAAACAAGATTTGTTATAAATGCGAAAGCTCAACGCATCGTAAATGTCGAAGAAAAAGGTATCGTGTCCAGGAGCAGACCCGGCCAACACCTAAGCGGCTTGAGGTTTTGCTTTATGGCCAACTTATCGGACATCTTTGGACGGATTGGCTGACTGGCTGACTGTCTGACTGGCTAGCTATCTCGCATCTTTGCCGAATTTTGTGTTTGCATTTTGAAATTGTCTCAATGATTTCTTTTTGTTTTTTTTGTTTTGTTTTGTGGTTTGGGTTTATGACTGGGGGCAATAAAAAAGTTTCCATTCGTTTTTAATGCTTATTTGACAAGAGAACATCGCGTGCTTTCTGGCAATTCATCATTTCGCCAGGGGCTACTGAACCTTAGCCTTAGCTTTACTCGTTGTCTCAAGAATCAGCTCTCATAGGCCATATAAGAAATTTCTTAACAGTTTTTCCCCCACCCCCCCTCACTGTGCGCTTTGATTAATTGTTTGGGCGATGTTTCAGCTTGTCCAACTAAAAAACCTGTGCCCGGGGCTTTCCGCATACAAAATATGCAAAAATGTTGCTCTTCAACTAACTGAGAATGATTAAGTAATAAGATCCATATCGTGGTATATATATTTATTGTTATATACGTATACTATATGGTCATATGCGATTATAGCGACGCTCAAGGAACCGTTGTCACACTAGGAAGACGCTATAACCGTATAAGTTTTAAGGGGGACCAGAATCTTCGTCATAATAACAGTACAGACGCTATAAGCGTAGTCGTTATAACCGGATTCTACTGTATTTTGTTTTATATAACCCGTAGCCATAAGTAATCCGGCTTCTTCAGCTTCCGAGATCTCTTTAGTCTATATTTATCTTTTTTCTCTTTTCTTACAGAGAAGCATGTTCGATCCTTGCAGCATCTAAAGGACACTGGTATGTATCTAACTCCTATTGGCAGAGTATTAATAAATATATAGAGAATATAGCGATTGCATTCAGCTTAGACTTTAGACCACTTCAAATACTTACTGCAATGACATCTAATCATCAGCGTAATATACTCCATACTCATCATATCCCAATACTCTTCTCAACTCCTATTCTCATAATGGCGTTTGCATCTTGTTAAGATGGTGTAGCCAGGATGCCAGACCGATGGACCCAGTAGCCAGTGCTTCATTTGAAGTTAGTTTTAGCTCTAGTGTCCAATAAACAAATAGACACTTACACGCCTTTCCAGAGTAATCTATGTAGACCAAATGTGTTTTAGCTGTCAAGCAGTGTTGCCAACTCACTAGGGCTGGCCCAAGCTCAGATCAGTTGGTCTAGGTAGTTAAAAAGATCTTTTGATTTTAGTCTTGGCAAGTAAAGGGCACTGAGTAAAGGGATTCTAAGCCTATGTATATTACTAAAGAGACTTAACACAGCTTCAGTTTCAGCTCGCACTTCACTGCACTGTGGGCGATTTTATTCATTTGGCACACAATATATAATAACTTTATGTAACATTTGAAAAAAAATTATTATTTTATCTTTAAAATTAAGTATTCATTTTTACTAACTTTTTCATGCAATATTTTCACAAATTGTTTTTTTTTTTTTAATTTTATATTTAAAAAAAAAATAATAATTTCATTCTTCTATATTCTTTTATGTATTAATAAAATTATAATTTTTAAAATCATTTATAATTTTAATAAGAGTATCCAAAAAAGGCGCGAATAGTAGTGTAAGAGATGTTTAAAAAAAAATATATCGACTTTGTGTGCTCATAATTTCGTGAATATCGATATATAAATATATAAGAATCGATTTAAATATAGTAGAAATGTTTTATATCGATTCCACATTTAAAATAAGTGAAATTTTAAAATTTATTTTTGGACTTATTGTGTGCCAATGGTGAGGACCGTTTGCATTAACTCCAGTTATTCGCTGACCTACGGAGCCTCATTGTGCGAATGTTATTTGATTAGCTCCCTGAACGATGTTTGTTAAAAGAGCGCCACACGAATAGTTCAACTCGAAGTGCTCAGCCGAACGTCAATATGAAAAGAAGCAAAGGGTGTGAACAGGAGATCAAGAGAGATCGACTGAATGAGATTTCATTAATCAACTAGTCTCATCTAATTCACCTATCCAAGTGCAGCATTCGTCTGGCTCTCTCTGAGAATCTTCTTGGTGAGAGAGTAGCTTAGCAAACAGCTGAGATAACTGTGATAATTATGGAACTCTGTGGCTCATTCACAGTTGCTTGAGCTGCCAGGATGCATGCTGAACAGATCGTCACTCTCAAGAGCCACGCCTCTGTATTTAAATTTCCCCTCAAGACGACACATTCTCTTTACAAGTAAACATTCCTTTTCTCTAATAGTTTACTTTACAGCTCTCCCTCTCTAGAGGGCACATGGGAATTATTCATGTTCCTCAACTCAATCAATCGTTGAGCTCCTCTACTCAAGAAAGGCTTCAGCTGACCCTAACACTTTGTTCACAATAGTTTAATGCATGCAAAGCTTGAGTAGCTTGCAAATATATTTCATTATGCTCTCATATGGCTTGCTTCTCCACTATTGCGCAATTTAATGTCGAGTTAATTTCTCAATTTACACGCAAAGTGTCGGAGCGCAGTCTGAGGGCGGCAGCCTGGCTAGCCACTGCAGGGGCGGGGCACAGAAGCCATATGAAATTGTAAATGCGGAGTTAAGAAACATGGTGAAAACAACACACACAACACACACAAAGAGAAGAAAAATTAAAAAATATGTGTGTAAATGAATAAATGGAAAAACGAACAACAACGGGCAGCTAATTAAGCTCGAGCTGCTGCATAATTTTTCAACCGCAAACCGCAGTAACGACAGAAAGTTGAAGATTTTGCGGCTAATGGGAACGCAACCCACAATCAAAATACATATAACAAAAATGAAAAAAAAAAAAAACTTGAAAATATAAAAAAACAAGCGAAATACACAAAAATGTAAATTTATTTTAATGCGTTGCACGTTGCAAGTTAGTGGCTGCCATTTGCATTTATTTCATATGCATTTCGTGGTGCACCAACACTCACAGCTCACTCACTCCTCTCCCTCTATAGCCTTCTGCCACGCGCCGCCTGCTAACGCACGCAAAACTTTGGCTCGAGTGCGTCTGCGACTCCGACTGCGATTCCTGCCAGGACTTGCCACTTGTAGGGCTAGCTACCTCACCCCTCCAGCCCCAAAGCCTGCGCACACTAAAAGAAATTTATACAAATTTATGCCCCAGCTACGTACTGCCAATTGTCGACCAGCAGCTCAGCTCAGCTCATTACGTGGCAGAGTGCCCGGGCTACCCCAAAGCTTTGCATTTGCCGAGTTGAAACAGCTATTCGCATGTATTTTTGGTTAAGTTTTCAAAGAAGAAGTTAATTTCCCATAAACATTTTCTTACTAAACCAAAATGGTGACTTTTTATCTCACGGGAGTCGGAAAAAAGTTTTTTTAAAACTTCATTTGAGCTATCTCTCAGTGAATGTTGAAGTCTTGAGAATCGCAAAGAAGGGTGGCTCGATTCCAGAAAGAAGGATGAGTAAACTGAAAATTTCACAAGCGAATATAATTTCTTTTTCTCGCTTGCCATCGATCAACAACAAGTAAGTGTGTCGGGAGTGCCCGACTAGAAGATACCCTGAACCCTGAAATCTGATAAGGTGATTTTTGAATCATTCTGTTTTAAAATATTTATTTGAAATAATAATCACTGTAGTGCGTTAAGCGTAGTCATATGTATATGTTTGCTTTTGTCGACTACCAATAGTATGATGATGGAGGAGGTATCCGAAATTCAAAATATGTAAAATCTCTGTATTCATTACACGAAGCTACAAAGTAAACCTCTAGAGCTCTTGCTCTTCTATTATTAATGCTACGCTTAAAAACTATGGATTTTTATCGATAATATGCAAGTAAGATGATCAATCGTAAATATATACTGCGTACTATATGCATATCATAGGTTTAGACTTAAAATTTCGCCTTTACAATATCGCTGCGATAATAAGAAGGGATAGACGGATGGATACACAGATAAATAGACAGAAGAGTAAACAGAAAAACAGACAGAGTGATAGACAAAAAGATAGACAGAAGAAAGACAGAGAGAACGATAGATAGGCAGAAGAGTGTCTGGATCAAGAATACATCTCCACGCCTCCTGCTCCTCCTCCTCTTCCTCAACTCCTTCTGCTCCACGCCTTCTCAACCAAGCCACATTCTCGTTTACGTCTGCCTCACCACGCCTCCTCCTTCTCGCCGCCTCCTCCTAAACGCACATTCAATCAACCAATATGCCCTGATTTCCCAATTATCCCAATGCTGGTCGCCATTGTCGCCAGTTGACGTATTGCCTCCAATGTTGACATTCGACCAAACTGTTAGTTAACATCTAGTTAAAACGTTCCGCAATGCAAATGCCGCTGTCAACAGTCGCTGGCCAAAACGCAAACAGTTTCATTTGGCCAACTGCACTTTACGGGATGTTGCTTGCATATTATTTTAATTAGCAACTGTCGCTCAAAGCAAACGCCAACAGCAGCGGCGGCAGCGGCAGCGGCAGCGGCAGCGGCAGCGGCAGCAGCAGCAACAACACAACATCAATTATAATAACTGCAATAACAACAGCAACAACAACAATAACAACAACTGCAGCAACAGCAGCTGGCAAAAAGTGTCGTCTGCCTGTCTGGCCTGGCCCGAGGGCGTTTGCCCTCTCGTTAGCTGAGAGCAACAGCAGCTGCAGCGCTGCATAAAAGCTCGCCCTGGACAAGGATATCTCACACTCAGCTCGCTAGCCACTCACACACCTGCACACACACACGCACACACACACATACACGCGAACATTCACACGCAAGCACTCAGCGCATGACTCGCGAAATGAGCGCTTAACAGGAAACAGTTTGTTTATTTTTTTTTTCTGCTCACTCTATACCCTAGAGACTGGGCAAATGGTAGGGTATATTAGCTACCACATATGTTTGACAGTTGGAAGAATTCGCGAAACAAGTCTGCTCTAGTGACTCGCTGCCAGGGCATCTCACAGTCGGGTTAGCACTCCAGTGCAGCTTTCATTTATTACTTTTTGTTTGTGCTCTTGCCGTTACCTGGCGCCTCATTTGGCCAGGCGTTTTTGCATGTCACTTAAGCAGCACTAACCACACCCACCACTCGCGCTCACGCCCACACGGCACACACCGACACGGCCACACGGCACACACGCCCTCACCTGTGCCGCCCCATGGCCTGATGAAGCGGCACGCTGGGGCTCAGCGCGTGCAGCGGGAGCTGCCTGAATCCGGGTATTAATTTAATTTATGACATAGCCGAGCTGCTCGCCAGCCCATAAGAAATTGGTGTTAAAGGAAGGAAACGAACCGAATCACTCGCCTTTCACTGCTCCCTGCTCGCTGCTCGCAGGTAAATCACTTCGAGTCCCACTCTAGATGCTGATCAAAGGCTCGATTATTCAAATATTGTGCCTGGAATAGCTAAAGGTGCTTGTTTGACTGATTGATGTGTCCGACTGCTGACTAGAAAATCCTTCTCCTTCAACGAGGTTTCGGTCTATCGACTATAGCTCCTTCTTGGAACTTAAAAATGTTGGACTGCCGGCTATAATCACCTCCTCCTCCTTGGACTGCCTCCCAGCTTAGAGCCAGGACTCATGCCGCATTAGCTTTCCAGGCGGAGCACTTTTATATACTTTAACTGAACAGCACAAAACCTTTACGGCAAAGTCTGGTTATCCAAATGCAAAGCCGGGTTAGAGAATACTCACAGAAGTACCACTCACTGGATCTCCCTAAAGAGTCCTGCAATAACATTTAGCACTCCTGTTAAAAGGTAGTAGTATTTTATATGTATTGTTTTGTTTAAATTCTATAAAAAGGGTTG